CTTGTGTCCGAAGAGCGGTATCGTGCTATTGACTACGCCTCCTTCGTGCTCCGCGGAGAAGCGACAGCAGCTGAATGAGGAAGCAGATGCAGCAGCAGAGCAGCAACGTGCAGCAGGTCTTGGTAGGTGGCGCCCCGCAGTGCCAGCTTGACGTGATCGACCCCAGGCCCTTGCGCTGAATAGCCCAGACCACTTTTTACATGACAGTGTCGCACCACTTACGGATGCTGAGGCTCGCGAGAGTTTGATCCGCTCTGATGTTGCTTGTCTTCCGAGGAAGTGGCCACCAAGTGTTTGGGCCTTGCTGGAAGCGTCGGCCCCGTGCAGGGCCAAGAGGACGTGCCCGATGAAAGGTTTTGGCCCTACAGACCTCAGGATTTCCAGGGAGTGTCCGCCTGCATGCTCCCATAGAAAATCTGTCGCCCGCAATTTGTTATGCTCAACTTGTTATGTGGTAGACGGAGGTCTGGGGACATCCAGTGGCATCTATCGGCTTCCCACCCCTCGCCCCATTCGAAGCTCTTCTGCCTCTCTTTGGACATAGCCATAGATGCCAACAAAGGAGACCTCACGGCCGCCGCTACCATCAGGTTGTGGATTTACCGGATTAGGGACCGACGAATTTTGCACACAGGGGGGGGGGGGGGGGGCGTGCGAAACCTGGAGAGCTGCGAGGTGGCAAGAGCCCCCCCCCTTCGGATCCCAGACCACGTCTGGGGCATTCCAGGATGTGCGCCTAAGCATCAGGATCAGCTCAGAATTGGAGGCCAGCTCCCACAGACACTCGTACTCATGCTCTCTGAACATTTGCGTGCTGGTACAGGGGGATGGATGGAACACCCCATCCCAGCGACTCGGGTGCGTGCTGCCCCCATCTCATGGAGGTGCCCCCCCTTGGTAGCTATCGTTTCGTCTCCAGCTGAAGGCTGGACAGATGTTGATCAGTGCGAACATATGCCACATAGCGCCGATTGGACTACTGTAGGCAGGGTACCCACACGAATCATCACTATTCGCATGCCGCAATTAGACAGTCTAGTACGTAACACTCAAGACCAAGGACGCTGTTCGCATAATAGAGACACTCACATGACGCTCCTAGGCAGAAGAGAGGACAGGTCCTGGAGGACTCAGTCTAAGAAGACATACCCGTGCAGCTTGTGCAAAGCCATAGCAGAGGCCACCTCGGATAGTGTTGCCCAGTTTGTGGGCGAACACGAAGATGCTGATTTCGCTTCCGAGAAAAACCAACGTGAGCTCACAAACAAGCTCATGCATTGTTACGTTCCGTGGTCGCCCGAATGCGACCAAGAATTTGCCCTGGCCCCCAATTTCACTGGACATCGCAGAGGACGAGGGGAGACCAAACGTGTGGACCCTGAATTTCCCCGATTCTTCCTGGAGTCTGGGGAGGGAGTTCTCCTGGACCCCCCAAGGGCGTTGGCCCGAATGACTCGGAGACTTTTGCAGCTTCAGCAGGTGTGAGTGCATCACCTGAGCACTGGGCTCTGGAGGTAGCCCCCCTCACCCCCTCTCCTCCTCCTCGGTCCTCGACGTCGTCGTTTGAAGTGGCCCTGGGACACACACATAAATACACACAAATAAAGGATTCCTTGTATTTTCTCAACTTTCCTGGGTTTTCGTCTTCCCCCCCCCACTTCCCATATCTACCCATATTCTCGTGGGGATCGACGATTAATTGTGTCTGTGTGTTTTTTGCCTTCCTGATCGTTGCGTGCTGTCCCCCCGTCCCCCTGGCTCTGTCCGAGGAGCAGCAGCCCGCTCGGATGGGGGCCAAATGGAGCCTCGCTCCCGACGGGAGCGCCGCAGGCGCCAGGAGCACGCCGCTAGTGCGCAGTGGTCAGCGGGAGGGCGACTCAAGATGGCCATCTTCGAGGAGGCCCCCGCCGGGGAGTGGTGCCTCGATTATGTCAGCTCCGGGTGCTGGGCCTGGTGGCGGAGTACGTGGTGGATCCCCGTGTGGTCCAGTGCGCCACCCACCAGGCCCAGCAATCGGAAGGAGCACGCTGAACAACATGCCCCTAGTCGCACACACATCTCCTCTCCCTCTCTGTTCTGTTGGACGCCTCTCTCCACACCGTGACAGGTCTACACGTTCATAGAGATGTGTCAGTAGTATATTACTGACCGCTTCGTCCTGACAGCTCTGCTGGAGACGACACGAGAAACATAGGTCCCAACATCATCCAATGCGATGGCCTCTGTGGTGTACGATGACACGGGCGAATGCAGAAACAAAAAAACAACCCTTGAAATTATAATAAAACGGGTAACACCGTTGCGAATCACTACGGATGAACATCTTCATGCTACAGCGGACCACGAACCTACAATAATGCCACTGTGAGAATGGCAAACGAAATTCGAATCGAAAACACCCTGATACTCGACCGAGGCTGAACTCCTCTCGGCAAGATACTCCTCCGGTACAAGATCGGTTCGGATATTGCAGCGTTCGGGGTCCACCCTGCATCGATGACTTCAAGCAGGCGCGCCGCAACCTTGTTGAAGTGAGGAGCGAGGCAAGTAGCGGCGAGAGGAGAACGCCCACGTCCAACTTCAACGAAGAGTTCACAATCAAATGCACAAGGCACGCGTGTAGAAGGTCTCCAAAGCCGGATATGAAGATCATGCGCTCACCTGGTGCAAAGACGTGCCAATCATACCCATAGGAAATCGGGCGCCATCCGAGCGACCAGGTATCCGTGCGACCAGGTACTCGGCACTCTGGGTATCGAGCTGCTGCCGAGCAATTGCCTGCCTGGTTGCCCTCGTGGACGTATGACAACGAATTGAGAGCATCTAGACTAACATCGCCTGGTATGGGAACGGCTGTACCATGATCTACGCTGGTCCGCGTTACGCTTCACTATGTAGTCCACTATGTTTCCCAATCCCGCGGACTCCAATGGACCGCGTCGTTCCCAGCAGTTGCCCAACACTTGAAATATACGTTGGGCCATTATGACAAACAAGGGCTGGCGTTGGTGACCGCCCAGTGCAATTCCTCCGCTGGCCACGCACGCCATCGGTTGGCAATCGTGGCCACTGCAACTCTGCGGGGCCCGCGTCCCCATGTTGATCTGGCAACTCTGCCAGACCAGGTTCGGCCAGGTTTCGATGCAGCGCCGTAGCTGGCGAAGTGCTCTGGCGGGCAAGAATGCTGCTGTCCGAGAAATGAGCCCCATGCAGTGAAGATGCGCTGCTCGAGCGCCCGACACATCTTCATCCATTCCGACAACCTCTCTCTCGTGAATGACGCCAGGTCGTACGTACGCTGAAACTAAACATCTGCCCATCCAACAGGGTGCTTCATGCCAGAATGTACAAGGCCTTTTTGACGACGATATTCGTGTTCTTTCATGACGTGCTCGTCTGAATTCCTCCCAGGCCATTCTCAAATGCCATGGTCGTGCCCCTGCATTTTCGACACGATCCTTAATAGCATCACCGCGCGGACCAGGAAAGCGGGTTAGCCACCTCGCGGTCCCCGCTGGAGGCCTCATTTTCTCAAGAGAGACAGCCCCAAACGGCTCAATCTCATTCGTCAACACAAGTTGAATTGCCATGTGGTCGAAGCGCGCGGAGGTTGTCAAACATCGGCGCGGGGCCCCAGAGAACTCAGCAATTACTCAAAATCGGCCCCTTCAACAATTACAATATAAATGCTGCTCTCCTCTCTCTCGCGAAGACGTCCTGAGCGCGGCAAGACCCTCTCCACGCATTGTTTCTTTACACCGTTTCTGGCAGCAGCGAGAGCGGTCGCTGACGCGCTCGAAGAGCCTAACTTATTTACACACGGGATTGGCCCGAATAGCTGTTCCTGCGTTTTTATTCCGAACGACCTCGGTCGTTCCACCCTTCTGTTCACACTTCCTCGTGGGCCTCACTTTAGGATCCGGGCTTTACCCCCGTAGTTCAGAGTGGCGCGCTCGCCCCTGCGAGGGCCACTTTTCTGGCTGCGAGTCCTTCCTCATCGTTGTCGCCCCCCTCTTTTTCCCGTCCTCCGCCTTCCCCTGCTCCTCCTGTTTCTCCCGCTCGGGCAGTGGGGAGAGATGCGTGGACGGGGTAGAGAATGTCAGAATCCGCGAGCACCTCTAGCTTGTCCTCCGCTTCTCTCTTCCTTCCTACCTGGTCCTCCTCTTCCTTCTCCTCCCGCCCCCCCAGACAAGCTGCGTAATGGAGTCGTAACGCCAACGTTCGCACGGCGCAGGTCAGGCCTATGCTGGGTCACTGTAACGCGACTTGTACACAAGGCTTCAACGGCTCCAACCTGTTCAACCTCGAGCGATCGCCAAATCGTTCCGTAATGGCCGATGTTGGGCCACTGGCGCAGGAAAGCCAAGGATCGAATGGATAAGACGGATTGGCGATCAAAATGATCGCATCGGCGGAAATTGGCAGCCGAGTCGTGAGAAGTCGAATCGGCAGATGTCGGCAGGCTGATAGGTCCCGAAATCGGAATCCAAATCGGAACCCGAACTAGAATCGAATCATAATCGGAAACCATCGAAATCGAATCGCATCGACTCGGAAGAGTCGAGGAGGGGCCCCCCTGGCGGCGCTCCACCTTGAAAGCCCGCGGCGGGGTCGCCGCCGCGTCGACACGACACGGACCCGCCGTGCTCAGAGGGCGCGGTGACGGGAGGAAGGCCGCCGGGGGAGGGCAGGCGAGGAGCCGCCACCTCGATGGGCGCACGCCGGCACGGATCGGGGATCCTTGGAGTCTAGCGCGTGGGCGCCAAGAGCCACCGATCGGGGCAGGCCTCCTCCTCCTCCTCCTCCTCCTCCTCCTCCTTGGAGTCTAGCGCGTGGGCGCCCAGACCCACCGATCCGACACGTGAGGCCGGTGCCTGCCGACTCGGCGACGGAACGGGCAGGACGCCAATCCATGCTTGCGCTGCGTCGACCTCCTCCCCCCTTCCACGTCTTGCGTCTCTTCATCCTTTGTCCTCCCCCGCCCCTGCTAAGCGCCCCGCCCGCCGCACTGTGGGCAGGTCCAGTCTGCCGGTAGGGACTCGAACTCGGTGCCAGGGCCGTACTCCCCCTGCGGACCAGAGGAAAGGGGAGGAGGAGGAGGACGACGAGGAGGACGAGAAGGATCCAGGCGGAGAAGGGGGAGGGGGGTTGGACGAAAAGGGGAAGGGGGAAAAGGGGGAGGAAGAGTTCGCTGGAAATATCCGCAGTGGTGAACGAGTACGAAAAGGGTCGGTGCGGAGCAGGGGGAAACGCGGCGAGGATGGAAAGGATGGGGGAAGGGGAGGACGGGGGGACGAGGGACAATGGGAAGGAGAGGTAGGGGGATCGAAGGAGTGGGAGAGGATTTGGGAGGGGAGCGAGAAAAGGCTGGGAGAGAGAGAGAGAGAGAGAGAACAAAAAAAAGAAGAGAGAGAGAGAGAGAGAGAAAACTATAGAAACAACAACAAAGCATAAAGAGACATGTACACATCAATAGAGAGAGGGGAGGGGGCAAACAAGAGACATGTAGACAGAGACGCAGAGAAAGGGATAGGGAAGGAAGGTATGAGGGAGGGGTGGGAGGGAAAGGAGCAGGCAGAGGCCATGGGCCTCCTGAAGAGATGGGAAAACACATCATCGTCCTCCTGCTTCTCATCCCCCCCTCTTCCCGTTCATCCTGTTTCCTCGTCCTCCGTCTCCTCCTCCTGACCCTCCCCGTCTACCCTCCCCCACCTCCTCAATCTAGCCTGCACCTCCTCATCCTCCTCCTCCGCGAACAGATGGATGCATCCTGTGGTCCGGGCCCTTGGCGCTAAAAGGAAAAACCTTGGGACACCTCACGCACTCCCCCGGGGCCACTCTTTGTGGCCTGGGGAGAACATGCATTGCGTGACTTTGTTATTTGTCTTCTGCCCCGAACTCTCTGTTGCGGGTGGGGGCTTGCAGGCTTCGTAAAACTGACGGGTGGCGAACCTACCAAAAACCACAGCGGCGACGCCATAGGACCCCGCGACAGACAGCAAGGCGGGGTCGGTGCGCGGGGTGGGAGGCTCGGCCCCTCTCCTGAGCAGCACATCCGAGAAAAGTCTGCACAGCGGTCTGGATTCTGCTGTTGCTGCTCCCCCCCCCCTCCTGGGCCTGTCCTTGCAGCTCTGGCAGCGGTGGCGGTGGGGGGCATCGCCTGGGCACGGGCGCCCGAGCCTCCCGTCGGCTCGGCACCTGTGGGACTTGCAAACACATTCGCTGCAGCGGACTCGGCCCCTTCGGAAGTGGGGCTGTGGGAGGCGCTGCACTGGACACGATTGAACGCAGGGACTCGTCTGGGAGCTCGTGCGCTGGGTAGCGCGCCCGCCGAAGCACGTGGATGGCCCCGAGTCTCCCTCGGTCCTTTTCGGCTAGCGCATCAGAGGCGAGAGCGGGATGAAACAATTCTCTGGGCGGCTGGCACCGTCCGGCGGCTACCCCAGCCGAACCATCAACAAACTCGCCGGCGCTGACTGCCCACGTTGGGTACTCCGCTCTGTGACCTTTAAATTCGCCGGCCCAACGGGCCAGAGGCGTGCTGAGATCTCCGGCAACTGGTTAACAATATTTCTAGTTCGCGCGCGCGGAGCGGCCCCTGGGGGCCCCCGGAAGTACCCCGGCAAGGTCCCGGGAAAAGCCACCAGAACACTCCAGGGGAGGGCCATTTTTCGATACCCCTCACGAGGATCGTGGCCTCCGATGGGGGGGGGCGCAATCGACTACTACCCCCCCTCCCGTCCCAAGAGGCCCCCAAAAGCCCCCCTTAAGATGCCCTGGAGGCCCCCAAGACGCCGCCAAAGAGCCCCAAGAGACTCCCAAGAGGTCCCCAAGTATCAACCGATGAAAGCACACTAAGTCCTTCACGGGCTCTCTGGGGAAATACTAACTGTAGTATCTCGGGCTCTCTGTGAATAGTCTCGTCGTAATGAAGAATGAAGGACGCAACCTTTCGCGTGACTCAGGGGCCGCACGATCAAGAAACAGCGGCGGTTCAACAACAATGAAACGCACTGCTTGCTATACCGCTGCAAATCAGTGTGCTCAGAGACACAACAGGAAGGCCTCCAGTTGACACGGGCGGAAAAAGGAAATAGCACATATTACTTCGCAACACTCATGGAATTCAAACCGTGCGATCGGGGGTTCCAAGGTAAGCCACCCGGGAACGTCAACGTAAACTGAGAAGGGCCCTGCGAGCAAACCTTAAACGAAAGAAATTCTGCACGGAAAGCGTGAGCCCCAGGGGCGATCGCCCTCGGAACAAACTTGACCTGGCAAAACTAGCTCACAAAACCGCACGTGGAGTAAAACGCTCCACCGCACAAAACCTCAATCCCTTAATCTACTGCCGAAACGAGGCTCGACCTCTCGCCCCGACACCAACCAGATGGGAACCTCACTGGCCGCTCATGGGCGGCCCATCCTCGTTGCAGAACCTGCAAATCTCGTTCCGCCTCGCGCTTTTCGCGCCCCGCAACCCAGCGCACGCGCTCGTCAATTGGTATATCTCGCCGTACGTGCTGATGTATACATCGGGCTGCTGGGCCGTCGTAACTGGGCGCCTTCGGGTTGCGGGCGTCACTGTCGGTCAACGCGTCGGCACATCTCCGGGGCTGGTAGACCTCGTAATAGTCTGCGTCGTCCAACTGCTCGTTCCCGTCTTCGGTGAGGCACTGTCCGTGCCCTTGTGTGTATCCGTCTTCCTCTTCGTCACTTGTAGCTCCACCTCGTAGTTGCAGTACCGTGTCCATGGAGCTCCCCACGTTCTGCCGGGCCCTCGTTGCGCCAACCTTCCTCCCCATGCAATCGCCGATCGCCAGCCCGATGCCCAGCGATAGCACGATCACAATACCGAGAAACTTCAGGGGGTCCCACGCGCCACCGCCCAAATCCACTGGGGCGCGCGCGTCGCGCCCCTGGCTCCCTGAAGCGGCGCCTGCAGCTAGAGTAGCTGCCAGCCTCCCCCCGCTCGCTCCGAAGTGTCCACGTCGCGCTCTCTGCTTCGGCTGTTCCGTAGTCTCGGTGGCGCCCGCAAGCTCGTCGCCAGCTTGCCCCAGCCCTTGCTCGCGCAGCTCCACCTGCGTCTTGCTTAGCTTCTTCCCCGCCACGAAGTTCGGGTCGTATTTCAGCGCATGCACTCCGCGTCGTAGTATGTCCGCTGGCGCCTGGCGACTGCTGAGCTTGGTAAGCCCATCGGCCATCTGCTGCTGCTGAGTGTTGACCCACCTCCAGACCGCGTCAATCTCCTTCATCTCTTGGTTAACGATCCTGACTTCGATGGCGGCACGCTTCTCGGCGACGCCCAATCCCGCGGTAACTGTCCGCGAGGCGTCATGGAGACACTTGGCGTCCGTGATGAAAGGGGACTGGCCGAAGTACGTCGTGGCCGCGTCGCCCGTCAGGTCGGGCCCCAAGCTGAGCGCCGCGTAGATTTTCATCCCCATGAGCGAGCCCCCGCCCAACGCGGCGGCCCGGGCCTCGGCTGACAGCGAACTCCTGCACGCGCGTTGCAACTTCTTCGAAGCCCATTCCATCGCCACGACCGGCGTAGGCGCGCCCGCCTCAAGCTCTTCGGCAGGCCCGAGGAAGATCTGATAACCGTCCCGTGAGCTCCCGTCAGGTCGAGTCGCCCAGCTAGCATCCGAGTAAGCTCCAATCCTCATAGCGCCCCATGGCTTGTCGAAACCGAAGCACAGCCCGACGCCCGCATTGGCTTTCAGGAATCGCAGGTCCTTGTTCGCGTCGATCATGTCCTGCACGGTGGCGTTGCCCGTCGCAGCAGCACGGAACGACACGGCGGCGACTTCAATGATGATGTCATGCGCGGCTGGCCACTGCAACTGCCCATTCAGCGCCCTGAAACACGCCAGCTACTTCTGCGTCAATGGACTCGTCAGGTTCGCACGTCGGACCTTGTCGGTGGATCGGTTTGACCGCGTGCAAATACTTCTCGAACCTCAGCGCTGTCGCGTAGGCGTTGACGTTCTGCTCCAGCTCCCCGCCCGCAAACGTCAGCTCACAAACCAAGTCCCGCTTGCCGAAAATGAACTTCTGGTTAAGTAGAGCGAGCCCGGCCTTGAACGACACGGGGTCGTCCACGGGCGCGTGCAAATCGTCCTCCGTATTCACGTTCTCTCCGCATCCCAAGAAGTCGCCCCCGTCCACCGCGTAGTTCTGGCCGTCGATTTACGCAGATGTCGAGCGGGTCGTCACCGGCCATCGCGATCCTCAGGCTGAGTAGCGGGCAGTCCTGGAGCCGATGGCTTTTGAACCGGGTCTCCTTGGTGACTTCATCGGAGCGGTAGAGCCACAGCTTAGGCGACCGCGGGCTTTATCATCTTGATCATCTTCAGCAACTGTCCAGGTTCCAGTCCGATTTGCTGCGGCAACATCTCCCGCGTCTCCTTGGTAGGTGCGGCGCACAGCTTAACCCGCGGAACTCCACGTTGTCAGCTTGAAGGAACGCGGACTTCACGTCGGCGGAAAACAACTTCCACTTACGTACTGTCGCGCACAGCATGATGGCGCGTCGGCCGCGGCGGCCCAGGGTCGGCGCCTCCTTGTCGAGCTGCCCCTCGACCACGTCACGATGCTTAAACCCCTGGTACAGAAATCTCGGTTTGGCCACCTGCTTGCCATCCTTCAGCTTCCACGTCAGCGAGAGCCATAGCGGGCGCCAGGCGGCTGGGTCGACCGCGGACTCGTTGATGGGCTCCCGCCCCTCGTTCTTATTGAAGACCTCAAAGGCTTCCCACTTCGCCTCCTGGAACTGTTTCTTCTCCTCGGGCGAGAGCCTGGCCTCCACGATGGTGGGGGCCTTCCGCTTTTACGTGGCCATAAGCACGGTCTCGGCCGACTCTTCCAGCAAGAGCAACTCTTCATCATCTTCGCCCTCCATGAACTTCGCCTCCTCGGCCTTGGCCTCTAACGTCTTCCAGGTGAGCCGCGCCTTCTTATTCGGCAACCTGTCCAAACCGTCGTTCGCCCCCACGCTGCGTTTGGCCAACTGCTCGATGTAGGCTTAGGCCCTGGTCGGCTCGCTTGCCGGCGCGGCCGCAGATGGTTCTTCAGCACGAGAATCAACAAGCGCTGACAATGGCTCCCCCGGCGAGTCGGGCATGAAACTGTCGGGCGATTCCTCCTTCACGGCAGGGGCGGCTGGCGCGGCGCCCTCTGGTTGTTCAACCTCCTGATCCGTCTCCGCGCAAGCGGCGGCCGTTGGGAGCTGGCCCATGTCGCCCACAGTCTCGTCGCATTCTGGCTCCTCGCCCATCTCTCGCAGGTCCTGGAAGTTAAACGCCCCTCTGGTCTGCTCGAGTGCCTTCCGCAGCTTCTCCATGGTGCTGAGCGGGCAGCGCGGGTCGCCAGGCCATGCCTCTCGCCCCCTCGTCTCCGACGCCAGCTCAGATCGTAGCTGCTCCAAACTGCATCTGTAGATGGTGCCCAGACCACGCCTGCATGTAGCACCTCGCCCTCGCTAGACTTAGCCCCCACGGCCGACCAGCGCCGGCCCGTGCCAGCAGCACTTTCCCAGCGCTCTGTCCTTGTCTGGCCCCCAGTGGCACGCCCACTCGCCGATCTCGTAGCCCCTGCGCGCGGGGCGGCTGCGCGCGAGCAAGGCGGCCCGCGCGGCGCGGGGGCAGTTCGCTTGGATGAAGGAAGTGCCCGCGGCCATCCGACGCACTGCGGTCGCGAGCACCTCGCCCTTCGCGTCAGTCAGCGCGGACTGCTCGGCTAAGCCGAGGTCCTCGTCGCTCAGCGCCCCATGTATATTGGGCTGCGCGCCCAACGCTAGCATTGCCGGAGAGATACCGTTGACGTCTCTCAGCGCGTTCCGCTGGCTGGCCGCCATCCTCAGGGCCGTCTCCAGCGAGTTGTCGGGGAACTGCATGTGGCACTTGGCCAACAGTTCTCGGCGGACGGCGCGATTGCGCCCCATCAGGCCAAGCACGTGGTGAACACCCTCGCCCAACCACTGTTGCATCTCGGCTGCCGCGTGCGATCCTCAGGCGCCCATGCGCATGCATGCGGGTTTTCCTGCCCAGCTGACCCGCAACTTTTCCCGCAGCTTCGTTTCGCGCCCGAACGTCTCCTTAGGATCGGGTAATCAACAGCCGCTGATCGCGAGGACTTTTCGCTTCCTCTTCTTCCACATGATGTAGTACACGTCCTTGCAGACCACCTGGCAGAAGCACTTGGCTTTGGACAGGGCCGCTACACGGACTGAACGCGGCCTCATCCGCTTCATGCAAATCTCGCACTCGAATACCCGGGCGCACTGGGTCCACTCAGCTGGGGCCTCCGCGTTCTGCATGGCGGTGGCTAGCGCGGCGCTGAAGGATGCCCCAGGCCGATTTGCGCGCTTGGCGGCTCGCACGGTGGACATGCTATAGCGCTTCGTGAACTCACGCACTGCGTCGCTATACTCGCCCAAGTCGAAGTCGGGTCCGACTTCCTCTGTGGCGTGGATCTCGTCGACCCCTCCAATGTCTTCCTCGCGTCCCTGATGCGCGATGAGGTAGGCCATGCGCTTCGCCATCCTTACTGGATAGTTCTGGGCATGAGATGCTAGCTCCCCACGAAGCACCACCTGCTCCGCCTTGCACTTGCATCCCAAGCTCATGTTTCTAATGAACTCGTAGTTGGTTGAATGTAGTCTCGTCGGCTTCTTGCGCGGCCTGGTCACTCCGTCGATCTCATACTCGGCTCCAAGTCGACACTGATCCAACCTGCAAAAGTCACCCTCGAGCTTCTGCAACGTCTTCGTCTTCCGATGAAGTCCGCTCAAGGGTCCTTCCACATATGCGCGGCGTCCAGCGGCGGCCTGCTTGTCGAAAGCCTGTTTCGCCATCTTCAGGAAAGTGGCTTCTTCGCGCCCCCTCGCCTTGGCGATCGCCTCCATGCGCCCCTCCGAGAGGGGCGCGTTCGCGCGCTGCCACGAGCGCCAGTTGGCACGCAGCGGGGCGAAGGAGATGTCGTCTGGCTTCGCCCTGTCGATGGCCTCCAGAAACTGCCGAATGATGCGCGGTTTCGAGAAGCCCCAGCCCTCGTTCTGCTTGAAATGTACCACCTCGACCATCGGGTAGTTCAGCAACTCGGTGGAGAGCCGGCCCAGGTCCACGAAGACCAAGGCCCTGCGGTAGCGAGCGCATTCCGTCTTCGGCGTTCTCCACTGCGAGGATCAAGTCTGAGTAGACGCCCGGCGGAATGCCGTTCGGGCCCGGCCTGGCGCGGCCCCCTGGATCCCCGGACTCGTCTATGATCATGATCTCGTCCGTCTCCCCTGGGACCAGGAACGCCGCGCACGTCTCCAGGTTGCGCGCGTCGGCGTCTCCGATGTCCGAGTCCGCGGCGTCGTCCTCAGGCCCCGAACCGCTCGAAGCGCGATCGGAAGAGTCGTCGCTGGCGTTGCTGCCCTCGCCCTCCGTCGGGATGCCCATGTTCGCGACGTCGTCGGGCGCGTTGCCGGCGCAGCCTAACAGGTCGATAATGAAGTGCCCCTTCTCGTCGCGCTCGGAGGTCATCCAGCCTTTCTCGGGGTGGTCCTTCAGCATGAACTTGCCACTCCTCCATGCGCGGCCTCGCGATGAGGAGCGGCGTCCACCCAGGCGCCGGGTGGATGGCGATCTCCTTCCTCGCGCCGAAGGGCCAGACGGTGACCGTGAGCTTCTGCTTGGAATCTAGCGTCTTGCCGTCGTTGAACCTGAACATGCGGTCGCTGTTCTCGTACCTCACGTCGTGGATGAGCTGCTTCGCTCGCAGGTACTGCCCCCGCTGTCGCCAATTCTGATCGCCCATGGCGGGCCGGGTAGCTCCTCCATCGCCGATGCCTTTGCCGACCGTGACCAAGTTCACCTCCTCGATGGCATTGGCGAACTCGAGATCCTCAATGTCCGCAGTGCCGGCCGCGTCCTCGACCATGTGCGGCCCCTCATTTATGTTCGCGAAGCCTCCAGCTCGAAATAGCTTGAATCGAAGACCGCGCTGCTGAGTCGATCCCGACGTGCTCGACCTCGGAGGCGCAGGCGGCGGGGCCGATGTAGGCGAACTCGGAAACGCCTGGCCTCCGCGAGGAGGGAAGTGTGGCGGCCCCTTGCCCTTGCCTTTGCCTGCGCCTCGTCATTTGCCCTTGCCCCTGCCACTGCCCTCGGGCGTCGACCGCGGCTCGCGCGTGAGGCTGTTGTCAGGGGCCAGGGCAACGATCGGGTAAAAACCTCGGGGCTTGGCGATCTCGGCCACCTGCTGCTTGCTCTCAATGAAGCTGATGTGCGCCTCGTCGTAGGCAACCTGCGCTTCCTCGATCTCTGGCGGCGCTTCCTCAGTCCCGTCGGCGCCGCCCTGCTCGTGCCCGTTGCCGTCGTCATCCTCGTAGCAGTGGTCGCAGTCGTCCTCCTCCTCAAAGTGGCCGCCCCCATCCAGGCATGAGTCCTCGTAGGCGAGTCCTCTCTCCCACTCGTAGTCGTTCGTGTAGTTCGCGTCAGCGGAAGCGCTGCCTCCTGCGAGCATCCGCTCTGCCCTATTCACGCCGCGCTTGTCAGGCGTAGCCTCCGCTCCGTACGTGTCGAGCAGCACCGTGCGAACCTTCAGCCAGCCGAGACCCCCCCCGCGCTGGCTGCGCACCTGGGTGGCTCTGTTCGGTGGTATCGCGTCTCGATTGAGGAGGTGCCAGCCATCCCAAATACCAGGAATCTCCATTCCGACCTCCTTCAGCTTGCGCAGCTTTCGCTGGCGGCGTCAGCAATGCAGCTTCAGCGTCTCTTTCCTCTGTCGTGCGAACTTGCCGAAGAAGGTGTCCGTTCTTGCCGGCAGCTGTAGTGCTCGTCCAGCACCTTGATGATGGGCTGGAACGCATCTCCTGTCTCTAACAAGCCCAGGTCGATGTCTTCCGTGGCCTCTGCTGCCCCACCCTGCAACGAGTCCACGATCAAATAGGCGCCCTCGCTGATGGCGTGGAAACCTCTCTTGTGGCGGCGCCTCGCGAAGACCTGGAGCTTGCGGCGGAAGCCTCCATCGCCCTCGCTGCGCAGCAGCTCGAAACTGGGCGCAGTCTTGCTCAGGCCCGCGTCTAGGCCTCTTCCCCCGCCCCGGCCGTTCTCGTTGTTGGTCCACCAACCGCCTCTCCTCCAGCGGGTCCAACTGTCGTCCTCTTCCCCTAGCGTGGCGGCGCAGTCGGCCTCGTCCACGCTGCTGGGGACCTGCGCCCCGTCCGCCGCCTGGGCCCGCGAACCGGCTGCGGCGGCTGGGGCAGCTGCTGCAGCCCCTGGCGCGGATCTCGCACCCGTTCCCATCGTCGGCGGCGTCGCTGGCGGCGAGGTTGGCGGCGCGGCGCCCGGCGCAGGCGGCGCGCCTGGAAGCGGGGGGGCAGGCGTGGCGGATCACCTGCTTTGTAACCAATATCAGCCGATGAAAACACACTGCGTCCTTCACGGGCTCTCTGGGGAAATACTGTCTGTAGCATCTCGGGCTCTCTGTGAATGGTCTCGTCGTGGCGAAGAATCAAGGGCGCAACTTTCTGCGTGACTCACGGGCCCCTCGATCAAGAATCAACGGCGGTTCAGCAACAATGAAACGCACTGCCTGCTGCGCTGCTGCAAATCACTGCGCTAAGCACGTGAAATTATATTCAACATCAACTGGAAGGGTTCCAATTGACACCGAGAGGCCCCCAAGGGGTCCTGAGAAGGGCCCCGGGGCCGGCTCAATGAGCGAAGCGATTTGCGCGGCATGCTTACCAAAGAGCACGCATCGATGTCCACCATCCACGAGCACCTGGGCTGCGCCGCCTGATAAATACAGAGAACCTGTGACCGCGATGAGGTCACCTGCGGCATGCCTTGGGACCTCCACGGCCGCCCTAAGCTCTGCTGCTCCAATTGTCTGCCCGCCGACTACATCGCCGGAAATCTGACCTAACCCGCGAAACTCTTCTGCCCAACGCGCCGTGCCCCGCCCAACTCCGCTGAGACGCGGGCCCTCGGATAACTGACCGCCAGAGCCGTCGCCGGCCCAGGGCCGCTGGCCGCCCCGAGCAGCAGACGGGCCCAGACACGCGCCCGCCGCGTGAGCGTTGGGACGCCTTGGCGCGGCGTCTTCGACAGCCCTCGGCGCCGCCTCAGATGGGGCCAATCCTCGCGGCCCGAAACATCAGCCAAAGATCAAGCACCCCCCCAGACCACGACAACAACCGCCGAGGAAGCAGTTTAGAACTTGCGTGGCGTTAGCGCACGTAGCCAGATAGGCCCTGCTGCCCGAGAAAGCGGCCCCTGCGAAATCGAGCCGGCCCGAGCGAACACGGAAGGGCGCAAGGCCAGATCGCCACGCGCAGAAAACCAGGACGAGGTGGCAACGGCAAAGCTGCTGCCCAGCGCGACCGACAAGCAGCCGCCAAAACCAAGCGTCGGCCACCAACAGCTGCCAAACGCAACATCTTTTACGCACCAACGATCGCGCACTTCTCGCCCGCCCGCAGCGACTGCGAGGCCCGCGCGGCCTGGCGCTTGAAGGTCGACGCAAGTGGCCGTCACAGCGATGCGCTCGCATGGCTGCAACGCTTCATCTGCAGTGCAATTTCCCAACGACGCGACGAGAAGCCGCATCTCTTGGCAACGCGCGCGCAGCCAGAATCATGGCCGTGAGCTGCGGCATGTGGACATGGCCAGGGGTAGAACCGCGCAGAACGGCACGCCCTACAACCGAACTACGATGGCACCAGTGGCCGGACAGGGTCATTGCCCTGCACCTCGCGAGAATTACCGCTCAAATCCAATGGCGCGGATGCAGCGGCCGCCGCGCGATCGCGCGAATGCACTAGCTTGGCTACGGCCGCGGGCGCGGCCGCGGGCCAGTCGCAGACCGCGCGCGCAGCCAGCGGCATGGCCACTTGCCAATGGCTCACCGAGACGCGCCCATCGGCGCATGCTCGGGAGAGAAACTAGCCGCGCGCACTGCAGCGGCAAAAGCGCACGCGAAGTCTCCAATCGGAGGGGCTCCAAGAAGCCCCCGAAAAAGTCCCAGAGTCACCCGAGGAGACTCCGAGATGCAACTCGCCTGGGCATCGTTTCTGGATGGGCTGGTGGGGATGCGCGAAGAGTCTGCAATTTACGAGGACCCTGCAGACGGGCGCGTCTGGCGCCGCGGCTTTCGGGGCGCTCGGGGCGAGAACCCCCGCGCCATCCGGGCCCGCCGAGCATCGCGGTTGGCGGCCCTCTAGGAGGCTGAATCTAAAACGAACCGCGATTTGCCGCCCTCGTCATCCCGCGACCTCCCTTTCGCGCGCATTATGTCGAGCGTCTCCTCGGGGGGCGGCGGAACGGCGCAACCTGCTTCATGTGCCCCCCGTGCCCCCTTCCGCCCTGCGTCGAGACGGGTCGTTGCACTCGGCTGCGACGCCCCATTATTTCTCTGTTGCTTCGCGTCGGAATCTGGCTGTCGATGTGCGCTGAGAACACAGGAACTGCAAACGTGCATCGCCATGCTTGGCCCGTCTCACATCGTTCCATATCGCGATCTGGAGAAAGGGTGGCGCAATCGTGATGATGATGCTGCTCGTGGTGTGGGGAACGCTGCTAGGTCGCAATGGTGGCGAGTCTCATGTTGGGCTCGCATTGTCTGAAGAACTAGTTGCCACGGCATTGTCGGCGCTTCGCGCTGCGTCTGCCCCCCTGCCGCGTCGCCGCGGAGCGGCAACGCGCGCGCGCGCGATCCGCGGCGAGGGGCGCCCGCGCGAGCGGTCGCGGACGCACCTCCGAACCGAGGGGAGCGAACGGCAAAGGCCGCGGTCGGCCGAAATGGCGGCGCGCGCAAGATGCGCGACGACCGCGCGCGCGTCGCGGCGGGCCCCAGCGCGCGCGAACGAGAATTGTGGCTCTCGGCACAATGGAACCAAGGGGTCGCGATTTCAGACCTCGCGGTGCGCGAGACAGCCCGTCGGCTCGCCAAACACGGAAGCGTGCAAGCACCTCGGTTATCAATATCCGAGTCTGGGTTAAGGGGTATTGGAACATCAGTGAAACATCACGGCCGATCGCCCCCTCGCGCCGTGCCAGCGTTGCCCGGGGCTTTCTGGCCGAGGGGGTGCTCCGCTTGATGCGTTGGTGGGAACGCCCAGAACGCGCGCCAGTCATCGCAACAACGGTCGCCACATATGAGACAGATCGCCTCGTCCTGCAAGCCAGCTTCGGATCTCTTCTGTGGGCTCCAAGCTGCCGTGAACATGCATGCCTGCAGCGCCTTGGCGAGGCTCGGCTGCTCCATCTTGCGGAGCCTCTCGACCTCCCACCTGATGCTGGCGATGTCTACGCAGTGCCAGGCGCCCCCTGATTTGCGCCCGCTGTCATCCCCACTCCAGAATTGCTGGCGAAAGCATACTCGACGCTGACGCCTGAAGTAGTCCCGGGCTGGAACCGCTCGGGCCGGACACCGAGCACCCCCCCCTTAGAGGCCCCGCCGCTCCCATTGTCCTACAGGGTCCTCCAGTCGAAGTCCAAGAAAGCCTCGATGATAACGCTCGCGTGGCTGGAGGCCTCGTTCCACATGCAAGAGTTCCCCGAAACGGCCTCTGCATGTTTTTCACGCTGCGCGGACCCCCTGTTTCAGCCGCGTCTCTCCCTCGATGACCTCGAACCACTGCTCGAGCAGCTTGGCCCTGAGAAAATTGGCAGGGTCGGGAACGCCAGGCAGCAATTCGCCGACATGAAGGCAGACGGTGCGACACGGACCTAGCTTGCTGACGCCGAGCGCAGATCCCGGTGCCCTTCTTCGCAGGCCGAAATCGGTCGGGGTTGCCCCGTGACTCGAGGCGCGAATGGAGTTGCCGCCAGGCCCGCGCCCTGAAAAAAACTTCCGGGAGTTTGTGGCAGCCTCGATGAGCACCCTGATGTTCCGGAAACCCAGCCTCTGGCGAGCTTTCCTGACCTGCATGTGCCTCCTCTTACCCGCGGTGGGGCCGAACCCGGGGCCCCTGGTTCATGCCGAAATCTTCTGTCCAAAGACCAGGCCTCTGGCGTCGCTGCCAGTCGGGGGCGCGGCGGGCTCGGGCGAGGGCCCGCGGCCGGCCTCCCCGAGCCCCTCCATGAGCAGAAAATCTTTCGACGGGGAGCACTCTTCCTTCAGCGCGTTCTCCGGGCCGACCACCCGAACGCGCGAGTCGCCCGCTCGTGCCCCGGGCGCGGCCCCGGGGAACTGGCGGCGCGCCTGACGCAGCGAGCCGCGTAGCAGCACGCGCGCTCACGCGATGCTCTGACCGCGCCCTGCCCGCGCGCTGGCCCGCGGGTTGACTGACGGGGCCGCCGATGTCAATTCTGCGGCGAGGAAACGCACTGCCGCGCGGACGCGCCCTCCTAGGCCGAGAGGAATCGCATGGCATTCCATCTCCTCCGCCTTCGATGCTAGCATCCCGGCGCAGATGATTACGTAGAATTGCCCCATGTCTAGACGCCCCCGCGCGCGCGCCCGCGCCCCCCCCCCCCCCCCCCCCCCAAACAAAAACATGATCGACCCACGAACCCGGAAAGGAATATAGAAATGTAAGGCATTGCACATTTCAAAGACACCTGATTGGGCGACGGGCACATGCAATGCTGAATGTATCGATGATGATGTACTGTGCCGAGGGCTGTGCT